TAAGGATTCGAGCATTGCAGAAGAGTTCTCTTTGTGCTCGAGGAAGTTTAAAAATCTGTTCCTCCACATTTGATATTCTCCCTTCCTGAGGCTAGGAGGGGTACTGCTGTTCCCTTGTGCATTGTATTCTGAACCCATTGCTGTACTAAACTGACCGTTCGAGAAAATTGATCAAAAGATTTTCAGAGGCAGAATCTCGAAAAATCAGATGTCGAGATCTGAATATCGAAATTTCAGATTTCGATAAAGGAGGCCCGGTATCGAGATTTGGGCTCGAGATTAAGGATCTCGAGATTTGGGATCTCGATATTTCAAATTTCGAGATGCTGATCTCGAGATTTGAAATGTCGAGAAGTTAATCTCTCGAAATCTTAATCTGATGAGTCAAATGTCGAGACCAGATGTCGAAACCTTTTCTCGAAATCAAGATTTCGAAATCCAAGATGTCGAAATCCTCAATGTCGAAATCTTTCAACCTGTAAAAATCAGATAATCAAAATCTGAAGATAGTTTCCTGTAGAGTTGAATGTCGAGATCTTCTGGTAAAGTTTTCAGCTCGAAAAACGTAGCAGAACCTGTGAAGAAATAGGATATCGAGAAGCCTATCTCGAGATATCTCGAAAACAAAAATTGCGAAAAACACAAACTGAAGTATACCCTTTGATCGCTTTGAAGAGGCGATTCCAAAGGTGTAACTTTTACAATTTTTGAACAGGAAACAAAATTACAGAGCAAAAAATCGACAGAATGAACTACGTTAACAAAAACAGAGTATTCTGCAGGAGTTCTTCTGATCGTTCTCGATCGGCTCTGATACCAATTGTTAGTCCCTGTTTCTGTAACAGCAATGAATAATCGATCTAACAAAGGAAGATTAAACGTAAAGATGAAACAGAATGAATCACCGTAAAACCTTCTTTGATAAACCGTGGAACGTACAGCAGAATGATAAGCGTAAGGCTATGAAATAATAAGTACGACGTTCAACCTTTTCCTAAACCTCGGCTCCCTTTTTATAGGCGAGGTTTAGGTTAGGCGTAACAGGCTTTTGGCTTGTTTAAATGGGCCTAACACTTGGCCTGATTTCTATCTAATTTATGCACTATTTAAATACAAGGATTAAATATAAAGCTAATCTATGACCAACTTGATTCACAATAAAATATCTCCAACACACTAGAAACGTCAATTTTCGTTTTTGCGGTCTTCATGAAGGGTCTACCCAAAAGGATGGGTGTTGTTTGGTCATCAGTTCCCATTTCAAGGACATAGAAGTCAACAGGAAAAACCATATTTTCTACTTCTACTAGCACATCTTCTATTACACCCTTCGGGTAAGTACTAGAATGATCCGCCAGTTGAATCACTACACCGGTTTGATGTAATGGGCCAAGTTGTAGAGATTTATAAACAGAATAGGGGATTACATTTATTGATGCCCCTAAATCCAACAAGGCCTTAGGAAATGTGGTGTCTCCTATTTTGCAAGGGATAGTGAACATGCCTGGGTCGTTACATTTTTCGGGGAGTTTTCTCTGAAAAATGGCCGAGACGCGTTCACTAACTCTAACCTCTTGTTTCCCCTTCAATTTATCTTTTCTTTTTATTTTGCATAATTCTTTTAAAAATTTAGCAAAACGAGGGACATTTTTCATTAAGTTAAGAAGCGGAATGTTTACCTCACACTTTGCGAAGGTTTCATAGATGTCGGCATCTTTCTCTAGCTTCTTTGTCTCCCTCAGCGCCTCAGGAAACGGGATCACTGGTTCATATGATGAGGGTGGGGGGAGCTTGGTTTCTGTGATCTCCTCCTCCGGTGGGACTACTTTTTCAGGGTCCACCCCCTCAATCTCTTTATCATTCTCTTGTACCTCTTTTACCGTCACCCCATTTCTCAACATGATAGCATTCACATGTTGTCTCGGGTTTTGCTTCGTTTGAGATGGGAGTTTACCCGAGTCCTTTGTTTCAAGTCGGTTTACGGCATTTGCAATTTGACTCACTTGGCTTTCCAAATTCTGAATGCTGGACTTGGTCTCATGCTGAAATCGAACCATGTTTTGTTGCATGGTTGAGACATTTGAGGTGAGTGCTCGGATCATGTCTTCGTTGGACATACTTGAGCTTGACGTTTTTAGGGTTCCCATATCTCAAATTCGGGTGATCTCTCCACCCAGGATTGTAGGAGTTAGAGTGTGGATCATACCTCTTTTGGCCTTGAAATCCCAAAGCATTGACTTGCTCGGAATTCTCTTCTTGTAGTGTTGGGCAGGAATCGGTGGGGTGCCCCTGTGTTGAGCATATGCCGCAGACCTTGACTTCTTGGTGTTTTGGATTTAAAAGGAAATCCTTTACCAAAGAAGTCAAGCCGGCCACTTGACTTTCCAACGAGATGTTGGATTCCGCTGCCATGACTCATTTTGATGATGACCTCTCATTTTAGTGTCTAGAATTCTCGGCCAACTCCGAGATGAGATTCCTAGCTTGGGAAGGGGTTTTGTTGACAATTACCCCTCCAGATGTTGCGTTCATCAGGCGTCTATCTTGCTCCGCAAGACCATCATAGAAGTAGAGGATGAGGTCTTGCTCTGTGTAACCATGGTATGGGCAACTAGCACACAATTTTTTAAAACGCTCCCAATATTCATATAATGTCTCATCATCTTTTTGCTCGATGTTGCTTATTTGTTTTTTCAAAGATGATGAGACGGATGCAGGGTAGTACCTTTCTAGGAAGCATTTTTTCATTGACGCCCATGTATCTATACTCCCTGAAGGGAGATAGAATAGCCAATCCTTAGCCGTGTCTTTGAGGAAGAATGGAAAAGCCCTCAACTTGATTTGTTCCTCGGTAACTCCATTTGGGCACATGCTTGTGCAAACAATATGGAATTCCGAGAGATGTTTGTTTGGGTCCTCGCCCCGTAGACCATGGAATGAAGGAAGCAAATGGATGAGCCCCGATTTGAGCTCAAATGTAGCACCTTCATCAAGAGTGGGGAAGGTGATACATAGCGGTTGTTGGTTGAGGTCTGGAGCTGTGAGCTCCCTCAATGTTCTCGTTTCGAGAGCCATGTGAAAAGACTCTTCGGATTCGCTAGAGCTGGAGCTAGCGGTGTATGAGTCTCTGGTAGATGATTCTTCCGAGTCGGTATTAGAAAATTTACTTTTCAACCGCTCGAAAGTTTGTTCTATTTCTGGGTTTTTGTGATATGTGATTTCGTTTATGGAACGATGTTTAACCATAAACTCCACTAAGCTCAGAAAATAGAAAAATAAATACTCTTTATATTTTTGTTTAATATATATATATATATTTTGAAATGAAATAAAAGAAAAATTAATTGCCTTTCCTCGGCAACGGCGCCAAATTTGACATGCACTTGTCATGAGGTGCACTCAAAATAATTACAATACAACACTAATACGTAGTATAGTGAAGTAAGGTTCGTATCCACAGGGAAAGGAATACTTTTCTTCTATATAAGTAGTAACAAGGGGAGTTTAGATTTGTTTGATTTAAAAACACTAAGATGAACAACCTATATGAGTTTAATTTAATGAGATGAGGACTTGGTTTTGCTTTTATCCACTTAATGAAATGTTCGTCGATCCCGGTTATATCTTTAACTATCTTCCTCTCGAATACTCAATCGAGGAGTATATCCAGTTCATCGAGGGTAGTTATTAATAACGAGATGCGTTCATTAATAAAACTTACTATCGAGTCAATATAGAACAAGCGCCGTATATTAACTTGATAGTAGCAATAAACTTAAGATGAAGCGCCGTATATACAATAAACTTGATAGTATATATAAAACTAGGCTCGCGAGCTATATGTATATATATGTATATATATAGGTTTTGGTTCAAATAAGAATATGATCTTAGGAGAGAAACGAGAATGAATTTGGACCGTTAGATTTGTTTCAAGTGAAATTCAATGTGCATTAGATGAAATTGTAATGTGCATTAGGTGTAATTGAAATGTGCAGCACAAAGGGTACGATACAATGACATTATATGAAAATGAATTGTGCATTAAATGAAGTGACATTATATGAAACTGAATTATGTATGTGTGTGTGTGTATATATATATATATATATATATATATATATATATATATATATATATATATATATCACATATTAAGTTATTCTCTACTTTTTCATATTCTATTTCCTATATTTTCACGCATCATGTTTCCCATTTGTCTCCTCTCTCATACCTTTCTCCCATTTTCATAAGGTTGAAGCTACTTTTCGGGCTGTATTAGCTGAAGTTACTGTAGAGAGCCATTTAAGCTATTTTTCATATAACTTTTTGTTTATTTTATTAATAAAATATATTTCAAATATAACTTTTTCATAAATCAGCAGAATCAGCCAATGGCAGACCCTTCGGTCAGAACTTCATAAATATAAATTGAATCGGCCGATTCAACCAATTTCACTATTACCAAACATGGTCTCTATGTCTTATCACAAATTCACAAGATATGAAGCATTTGTGTACCAACATGTACATTGAATAGATACACACTTTTTTCTTTCCCAGAATAAATAAACGCTTTGAAGGTACATTGTATATTAAATATTTCATTACCGAAAATGTTAATTAAAGACATTAACATAAATACCAATTCAGGTTTAAAAACTATTAAATCATTAATTGCATTCCAGTTAATAATATACTATTTATATAAAACATGTTTAGCTACAAAAATTATCGAAATAAAAAACTATGCTGCCGTAGACAACTTAGATGCTAATGATCAAATTGGATGAGCCAACTTACCATTTTAAATATTCAAAACTATACCAAGTGCATCAAATTCATTAATTGAATAAAAGGTTGTTTATCAACTAACTATATAAGAATCTTTTTAAATTGTTACTCATTGAACATATGAATAAGATACTATACACGTAGTAGTATATATACAAGGTGAAGTCACATACCATTATAAATATGCATAAGATGCTAGAGACCAAGAGTATTCAGATACAACACTTCATCATTTTTATTTTAGTACACTTTACATATTATCAATGGCTAAAGGTCCAACCATTAATCTCGCTTGCTTTCTTTTATTCGTTCTCATAGCAACAGGTAATAACTATTTGCTATGATGTTTGTTTCATTAAGGTTTATTGGTTGATTTATATTTAACTAGTATTTTAAATAAATACTACCTACTATCTCTAAGAGTTCTATTTTGATGATCCGAATAAAATAAGTACAACTTAACTATATTAACTAGATTGATATTCTTTCAAAAAAAGCTAGATTGATATATGTGTAGATATTTGACCAATCTTTGACTTCATAAGCTATTCTCGGTTAAAACTTAAAAGGCTTGGCTCGATCAAACTTTTTCAAGTACCAAATTGTTGGATATATTATAACATTATAAGCTTAGACAACCTTTTACTTGTTTGTGTACGTGTTTCTTTAACTTATTCACTTGCTACAACTTAACAAAAAACTAACAAGGAGCGTTGTTTCAGAATTTTCTTGTAGGGGTTATGCCAGAGAAGAAATAAAAAGAAGTGTCACAATAGCACCGACAGGTTCTCAAATCAACGGCGATGGTGATTACCCTTGCAATGATGTTAGCGATTGTGATGATTATTGTGGTTCTGATGGTTGTGCTATGTGTGTAAACGGCGAATGCAAATGCAATTGTCCTAATTGAGTAAATTATGAATCAAGCATTGTAAGAATAATATTACTATGTAATAATAATATATCGAGGGTTTGACTTTAGGCCAAATCTATAGAACCGGTCACAGGATTAGGACCAACAATTCCAAATCAAGCTTTATCTTTTCTACATTCACCCTTTTTAGCATAATGCATAAGTATTTAATAATTTGACATCGGATTCTTTTCACTTTGATATGTTTCTGTTGTACATGCCTATTAATTTATACATATAGGGAGCGGTTCCGGTAAGAACGGACTCTCAAGAGAGAAATAAGAACGAATCTGGACCGTTGGATTATATTATGTGGAACGGAAATGTGCATTTGATGAAACTGAAATCTATATTAGATGATACTGAAATGTGCAGAATAAAAATTTAAACTCAATTGTGCATTAGGTGAAACTGAAATGTGCAGAATAAAATGTACAAAAATAACATCACATCGTACCTTTTATCCTGCACATTTCAGTTTCACCTAGTGCACATTTCAGTTTCACCTAGTGCACATTTCAATTCCACATAATACAATCCAACGGTCCAGATTCACTTATTTCTCTCCTGGGAGTTCGTTTTTACCGGAACCTCTCCCTATATATATATATATATATATATATATATATATATATATATATATATATATATATATATATATATATATATATATATATATATATGTATATATAGGGCACTTCTCAGCTGATCCGCTCCCTATATGTATATATGTATGTATGTATGTGTATATATATATATATATAAGGGTGAGATCACGTACAAACCATGCTTAACTTACTAACCTACAAACTCAATAATATGCAACACTTTGAACTTCAATATGCTGTACAAATAATGTAAAGATGCACTCTTTGAATTTCAATATGCAATACAAATAATGTAAATATGAAACTACTATTTTATGACTTGAATAATATGAAACACTTTGAACTTTTAATGGGACGACTAGTTTGTATGAGATCCCACTCCTACATCATTACATTATTTTTAATGCATATTGAAGTTCAAAGTGATGCATATTATTGAGTTTGTAGGTTAGTATTTTAAGCATGGTTTGTATTTGATCTCTTATATATATATATATATATATATATATATATATATATATATATATATATATATATTAAGGATCATATACAAACTCTTCTTAATTTACAAAGTGCAAACTAATCAGGGCCATCCATTTACTTTGATCTCCTATGCGTTGAATATATGATATGCAATTTAATTTGAGAAGTTGAGGGACTTTAAAGTCTTTTTGGTTTGTATTAATTTTGGGAAGAAAAAAACTCACGATCTTTCCATATTCTTTCTTCAACATACGTATCTCCTTCCTCCATCTTCTCTTTGTAGCATACACATCTCTTCTTCATCTCAATTTTCATCTTCATCTCTATGCCCAACGCCATCTCCATCTCTATCTCCGGTCCATCTCACATTTAATAGAATCTGATTGGTTTTCTTCTATTTGAACGCCATGGATTCCGGCATCGCCATAAAATTCCAGCATCGCCATGGAGTTCGTTGTACATGCTGGATGTCTTTATTTTTTTATGGTTTTCGTTTGTATACGAATTCAACAATTTCGTATTTATGTATTGTTCATTTGATTTTAGTATGCAAAATTTTACCTTTTTTTAGTATGCAAAATCTTACCATTTAGAAGATGTTTCTCGTACATTACCCTAAATTTCGTATGCATGTCGGTTGAGTGCACAATGCAGATTTCATAACGGTAAGATGCAGCAAATTGTCTTCTACAATGCACATCTCAGCTTACTAAAATGCAACATACGATATTCTAAAATGTCACGCCATAATGATAAAAATGCAACATATGAGATACTAAAATGCAGATGCGATAGCGATAAGATGCAATATGAACTTCTAAAGTGCACATATCATCTTACTAAAGTGCAATATATGAACTTCCAAAATGCATATGTCATAATGATAAAATGCAATATAAGAATTACTAAAATGGAATGTCACCATATTTTATCACTATGTAGTTCTAATATAAGTTATAGAGACATTATAAATATAAAATGCATATCTCGTAACCTTAATATGCACATCATGTAACCTCAATGTGCACACTTCTACCCGTGTTGACATCTTACAAACTTAACATGTTAGAAGTTCTAAATTATGCACACGTTATTAATATATAATGCACCTTCCATTGCCTTAATATTTTAGGTTTCAAAAATGAAAGATTAATTAGGAAGTGAATAATTCCTAAAATCAAGTATATAAATGTCCCTTTACTTTTTGTGAAAGTTTGAACACTTCTTGAAAAGTGATAAGTGAATAATTCCCAAAATCAAGAATAATTAGATATGCTATTGCAACATTAATTCGTGATGGCTAAAAACTCAGATGTTAATCTATGCACAAATGGGTGGTTGAAATTTAGTAGTTGCATACAACTCCGTATGTTTCTGTTTTTTAATTTGCTAAACATAAATGGGTGGTTGAACTTTTAATGGTGGGTTACCTGATTTTTTGGGATTTCTTTCCATAAAAGACTATGCGGCTCATTTTTAAAAAAAATGCTAATTTACTTTGTTGTCCTTGCTTACTAATCGTGCATCTCAATTATCCAACCGTTTTTAGTTCCCTACATTTCACCTCATTGAATGCTACGGTGGTTAATAGATGGATAGCCATTGATTTGCCCAATTTCAATGTACAAGATGAGTTTGCATTTTGTACGAGAATCATGATTTGTATGTGATCTCTTCCCTATATATATATATATATATATATATATATATATATATATATATATATATATATGTATGTATGTATGTATGTGTGTGTGTGTGTGTAAACAAAATGAGATCAAATACTTCCAAATAATATCATAAATAATTAAATATAACCATAATAATAAAGAAATCATTTAGTTATAAATACTATGATAATATAGCTTGAGTACTATTATCATAATGAACAAATCTTTGTAAGTAATTATTTAATGCGTGCGGCAAAATCTTTAAATTTGGGACTACACAATAAGCTTAATTTTGGATCATTATGATTGGGAATTATTCTAGCTACTAGCTATTATACATTATGTTTAAAATCAAGTATAAATAAGTGACGTGCTAAATTTCAATCTTAATGAATCTCAAACACAAGTTGTTAAATCAATGTTTTAGCATATTAAATCAATGTTTTTAAATCAAACACAACCTCTAAAGGGAAAAGATATCTTGAATGGACTTTTGAATTATTGTAAACTTTAGCATATTAAATCAATGTTTTTTAACCCTTAATTGGACTGAGATTGTGAAATATAAAAATGCAGTTTTGTAGTGCCAAAACATTCCCAAAAAAATGTTTTTATTAATTGTTCAAATCGCTTGCTTGTGATAATTGATGAGAAGGAACGTTGACATGAAAGAGATGAATGTTCAATCGTTGATTTTCAAAACTCGCTAAGACAAAAATGTGTGTTAATTAAAATGGAAGGTAAATTGATGTGAACATGTAGAGCACTGTGTATGAGAGTTTTCGTATTGCAGAAATGTTAATTTTTGTTTGGGGGATGTTTTTGGAGGAGTAAGTTGCGGAGGAGTAAGTTGTGGAGGAGAGGAAAAAATAGGGAAAGAAACAATAAAACAAAATGGGCACCGAGGGGGACTAGAACCGGTGACAAAAATGCTCTACATGTTCACATCAATTTACCTTCGATTTTAATTAACACACATTTTTGTCTTAGCGAGTTTTGAAAATCAACGATTGAACATTCATCTCTTTCATGTCAACATTCCTTCTCATCAATTATCACAAGCAAGCGATTTGAACAATTAATAAAAACATTTTTTTGGGAATGTTTTGGCACTACAAAACTGTTTTTTTATATTTCACAATCTCAGTCCAATTAAGGGTTAAAAAACATTGATTTAATATGCTAAAGTTTACCATAATTCAAAAGTCCATTCAAGATATCTTTTCCCTTTAGAGGTTGTGTTTGATTTAAAAACATTGATTTAATATGCTAAAACATTGATTTAACAACTTGTGTTTGAGATTCATTCAGATTGAAATTTAGCACGTCACTTATTTATACATGATTTTAAACATAATGTATAATAGCTAGTAGCTAGAATAATTCCCAATCATAATGATCCAAAATTAAGCTTATTGTGGAGTTCCAAATTTAAAGATTTTGCCGCACGCATTAAATAATTACTTACAAAGATTTGTTCATTATGATAATAGTATTCAAGCTATATTATCATAGTATTTATAACTAAATGATTTCTTTAATATTATGGTTATATTTAATTATTTATGATATTATTTGGAAGTATTTGATCTCATTTTGTTTATACACACACACACACACATACATACATACATATAATTATATACATACATACTTATATATATATATATATATATACATACATATATACATATAGGGAGCGGATCAGCTGAGAAGTGCCCTATATATATATAGGGAGAGGTTCCGGTAAAAACGAACTCCCAGGAGAGAAATAAGTGAATCTGGACCGTTGGATTGTATTATGTGGAATTGAAATGTGCACTAGGTGAAACTGAAATGTGCACTAGGTGAAACTGAAATGTGCAGGATAAAAGGTACGATGTGATGTTATTTTTGTACATTTTATTCTGCACATTTCAGTTTCACCTAATGCACAATTGAGTTTAAATTTTTATTCTGCACATTTCAGTATCATCTAATATAGATTTCAGTTTCATCAAATGCACATTTCCGTTCCACATAATATAATCCAACGGTCCAGATTCGTTCTTATTTCTCTCTTGAGAGTCCGTTCTTACCGGAACCACTCCCTATATATATAAATTAATAGGCGTGTACAACAGAAACATATCAAAGTGAAAAGAATCCGATGTCAAATTATTAAATACTTATGCATTATGCTAAAAAGGGTGAATGTAGAAAAGATAAAGCTTGATTTGGAATTGTTGGTCCTAATCCTGTGACCGATTCTATAGATTTGGCCTAAAGTCAAACCCTCGATATATTATTATTACATAGTATTATTATTCTTACAATGCTTGATTCATAATTTACTCAATTAGGACAATTGCATTTGCATTCGCCGTTTACACACATAGCACA